TCAATGTCCTTACTGTATTATCAACACAACTTTATCGATTACCAAACCTAAGCTCATCGACTTATTACTTCCGAACATACATAGGCCTCGTGAAAACACATTACAATAACGGTTACAGTAGGCTCCATCTGCTGCACACAACATTAACCCCTTTTCCCAGCAGTGGCGGCCGCGGACACCTTAACAAACACAAAAAAATACTTAAAAACACAAAAAAAATACTTAATCTAATTTGCATATTTCTACAACGACTTCCGACTGTTACATCAGTGCCCACTTGTGGCGCGGATGCATATCTGCGCACATACAAACTTTATACATCCACTGCGTCACGACGACACATCGCCGTTCAACCATCACGTTTTACAACAAAACAATGATAATCTTTTCATCGGCTGCTACATTTCACAACAGTTACAAGTCTCTTACATTTGATGGCGTGTAATGACGCCGTTCCAGGTTACTTTAAAAGAGCACCTTTACGTCACTCAAACGTCGTGTAATACTAACTTGACAAACCACTCACATTTCCGTGACGCGGTCAATAATAAACCTACACATTTACGTGACGCAGTCAATTTTACACCTGTAACCTTACTGTAAACCCAAAACATTAAGTCGTACGTAACCGTCTTTCTCTACGTTTGTCGATTGCCATTAGCTGCTAGCAGCGGAAACTACACAATTAACGTTTCGGACCCTTTCGTGTCGTCTCCACGCCACTCAGCAAACAATTCCACAACATTCCATATGCCACTCACCTCGGCGTAACGTTTTCAGATGCCGATAAAACCAGATGTCGTTCAACCGCGATTTTTTCCTCCATTGAACATAGAAAAATACGCATTCTGGCCCTCGTTTGTTGGTACTCCATTATTTGATTCAATCAGCTACAGGTGTGCGGGTCGCCCGCGTGTGACATCATCCCAGCGACTGATGAGCGCCTACTTAAATGGTTCCCATGGTTACCGTGACAACTTACTGTGAAACAATTTGCTCAACCTGCTCGAACGCCCCCCTGTGTTTTGTTTGGGTAACACCTGCTTAAAAAACTATTTAAAAATGTGCCTTTTCCTCTTCCCCCCCTAAGCAGACAATACTTGAAAAGTTCATTTACAAACGTTAACAGTTCAGAATCTACTGCAGCAGGAACTTTTTGTCATCCTTTTTTTTTACATTTCTAATCATATCACATATTTTCATATCTTACACCTTCAAAATGCCTAGAGACAAAAAACAGTGAGGGAAAAAAGCTGCTTTTTACATTTTTCTCTCTGTTCCTGATTCCGTACACATATAGAAGCAAATTAATGATTTAATTTCTCTCTACTTTGATAGAGAAGGAGGAGACTCTGGAGGAGCAGCAGCTGGACATGATGGTTCACCGTTTTCTCCACAGGTCTGTTAATCATTCAGTTCCTCATCACCTTGACCTTCTACCATCTGTGAACTCAGAGAAAACTAAATGAGCATCTCCGCCACAGACAGACCATATCACCAACATATTTAGGTAGAAATGGTGAAAAAAAAAATCTCACTGAGCGCCACGTTTTGGGTGATTTTTCAAATGTTCAAATAAAATACTTTTTGGAGTTTTAAACACTAAATATTCACCTGGAAGCATGTTTTAGGACCTAATCTTGCATTTTAAGGCGTTTCGGGGACATTAGTAAAAACTACCTAAAAATGTGCCTTTTCCTCTTTTTTTTCCTCTTTTACAAAAGCAGACAATACTTAAAAAGTTCAATTACAACCGTTCAGAATCAACTGCAGCAGTAACTTTTTTTCATTTCTCATCATCACATATTTTAATTTCTTACACCTTCAAAATGCCTAGTGACAAAAAACAGTGATGGAAAAAAAAGCTGCTTTTTACATTTTTCTCTCTGTTCCTGATTCTGTACACATATAGAAGCAAATTAATGATTTAATTTCTCTCTACTTTGATGTAAAATTCATATAGATGGACATAAACATACTGAATTACAACTTTTGGTCATAGAAAGTAAATTTTCATTCTTTAACAAAAACAAAACTTGCTCATGTGGGCGGAGGGCCATTCGTGTAGCGTAACATCGGATAGAAAGAGCGGGCAAAGTTGTTTGCCAGAGAGCAGCTGGGAATGCTCTCCGACATGGGGATGAGGCAGGGGAGCATCAGAAGGAGCAGCAGGAGGAGGTGCAGAGGAAAAGCTGCACGGAGAACACGATAGAAGAAGGAGCGTGGCGGCGACGACTCCCTCAGTCCTCTGTTGAAAATATATGGTGGTGAGCTTTCAACGGTAACATACGACAAAATTACTCAGGAAATGATAAAGGATAACATTCCATACCTTCGCGGAGAAGAAGCCGTGCTGGAGGTTGAAACCTCCTCAGCAGATTCTGCAGAAGAACTCTGGCCTTCACTGTCAGATGTTGCCTGACTTTCCTGGAAAAGCAACAACAATTTCTGCAGTTGCAGTAAAATCCTGCTAACACCAGTTCATAAATGAAGCCTCAGCATCAAGGATGTGACTTCCACCGTGTCCACAGGTTCACAGAGGTGTTTGCTGCACCGCCACCATCCTTTTACCTACCAGTCGTGGTGCTAAGCCACTCAGATCCTGCTCCACGTCCCTCAGCAGCATCTTCAGTTTGTTGCTTGTCACGTGGAGCTTCTCCTGGGCTTCATCGCAGTCCTCTGTGCCGTCCTCAGGCTGAAGCTGGGACCAGAGAGCGTGGAGCGACGCCTGCTGGATCTGCCTGGTCTGTAGCTCCTCACGAAGATCCTAAAAAGTTCATGTCAGAGCAAAGGACACAAAATCAATTTTTTGGCCTCAACTGTGAGTGACACATTTGGGGGAAATCAAGCGCTTTTTAAATCAAACATTCAAACAATCTTTAGGCTAACTCCTAGCTCACAATTGGCTACTTTCTGTTCCTGAACTATCCATCACGCTTACAACTGTTATCAGCACTTTCTTGCCAAAACTTTCAGCTCTAATGATAGGCTCATTTCACACTTAGAGAGAACACATTTTCCTCTGTTACACTCTGTTCACTTTTTATAGCCTTGTATTAATTTATTTTGTGGTTAATCAAACATATTTGGCTCATTTGAAGCTGCATTTTTAGGTCCCTTTTCATTTACAAAAACATAAAAACCTAAAGAAAACCATATTTTTTTCCCATGGTAAATTATTAGCTACATTTCTCCTTTTTTTCCACATACAGTGAGCGTGTTCTGGTGCTGCTGCAGGGCTCGGACAGACGTCTGTGGATCGTTGATGTCCACTGCATAGCGTCTGCTCTCAGCGTGAGCCAGCCACAGTAACAGAGAGTGAAGGGTCTGGTGAAAGTCCTGCAGGAACCAGGAGTCAAACACAGTCAAGTGTTAAAGACTAATGAGTCAGTACTATGAACAAAACCAAAACTTTGGACTCTTTACATGAAGATATTTACTTTTTCTACAGAAAAAACCTCCTTCATATCTGATTAACTATTTATTATTTCTCCATCTGACGCTTCCACTCACCTGGCAGTTCATCAGGGTCTTCCTCAGAGCGGCGTCCCACTGCTGCAGACCCGTGCTCACTCTGCTCCAGTCTCTGTTCATGCTGCACAGCCTCTGCTGCAGGTCCGGAGCCGTCTCTGCTCTCAGGTTGACGGACAACATGAGTGACTTGTAGTGAGCGAACCTTCTCTGCATCTCCTGTCAAACAAAGTCAAACCAAATATCAACATCAATTACATGTAAACACATCTAAACAGCACTGATGTTAGACCAAAGGTCACCTTCAGGTCCCTGGCTCTGGACTCCATGTCAGCGATGCTGGCTGCTGGGTTGGAGTTCTGGACCACCTCCAGCTGTGGGGTCACATCTTCTAACCAGGAGGAGAGCTGGTCCAGGTCGGTTCTAAGCTGTCCAGGCTCCTGAGGGTCGGCCTGCTGATCCACCCTGGTCTGAACCCGGAGCAGCTCCCAGCGCTCAATCACACCTGAACAAACACCACCATCATCGTCGTCATCATCATCATCATCATCATCCTCATCTGGATTACTTTAATCTGGACATATTTTCATAAGAACTTTTTTCTTACTGTCCTCTTTCTCCCTCACTCTTCCTGCCCCCCTCTCTCTCTCCCACCTACTTCCTCCCTCTGTCTCACCCCCCCTTTTCACCTGACTGTTGGTCAGATGCTGCCAATCCCATCAGGCCGAGCTCCTGCACCTGCTCCTCCTGGTGGTCGTCCAGGATCAGTGAGACTCTCTTGATGTTCTCGATGCTGCCGCTGCACTCAGATGTGAGACCGAGCTGCAGAGAAGAACCGTACAACTATTAGAACGTGACATTTGTCACACTGTCTCACAAAGATGACTTTGAAACACAAACTTTTCCAGGTGGAACATACAAAGCCCTGCTTCCTGGGCGTGCTGGTCAGTTTGGGCGTGTCTTCACCCTCAACTTCACCATCGACGGCCGACGCCCAGAGTGATGACTTCTGCAGGAACATGGATCTGCTGGAAGCTGAGACACAAATATGAATAAGAAAAGTGATAACAACAATGAAAACCATTTTATTTTCATTTCTGTTTTGACACATTTTGTACATTTGTATTTCTCCCACTATTATAATTAATTTTCAAATATTTAACTCACAATTTCCACTTATTGGTGACTCAGTGTGACCTTACCTGACAGAGCACTGAAGTAACTTCCCTCCTCCTCCTCCTGACCTTCATCTTCATCATCATCATCATCCTCCTCCTCATGTGACGACGACCCCCCCACGTCTCCCGTGTGGTCCCACTCCAGAGGCAGTGAGTCCACACTCACTGGAGTTTCACATCCTGACCGCTCCAGTGGAGAACTCAGAAGGTGAGTGGGCGTGGCCGGGAGGCTTCCAAAGCCCCGCCCCAGCCAGGGTCGGCCAATCAGCTCCAAACTGGAATCCAGGGACAAGGTGGAACTGGGGAACTCTGGAGGTTCTTCTTCTTTGACCATCTGAGTAGAAACAGAGGTTCATCAACATGACTTCGTTCCAATTTCACATTTTTCCCCTTCATCCAGAGGTTCATCACCATGACTTCATTCCAATTTCACATTTTTCCCCTTCATCTCTACAGTAGTTGTCGCCCACAACTTTACTTCATCTCATTTTTATCATTATAGCTTACAATTTGTCACTGTCTGTAAAGTGTTTTTTTATAAATTTGACTTTTTTCTGCTTATTTGCACTACATTCCAGAATTGAAATTAAATATTTCCCCTTAAACATTTTCTAATTATTTAAAAATTGGACTTTGGGTCTCACCATTATCTCTCTATAATTACAGCTCTGAATGACCTTTTTCAACCTTATTCTCCATATAAACTTTTTCATATTACTTCAAACATTTGCCAAACTCTCCCTCCCTGGTGGACATGGATGTCCGTACAACAGAGAGTTCCAAAACAACTAGACTTTTATTAACCAAATTCACCCCATTACACTGTAGTAACTGGAACGAAACAGGGTATTTGATACGTAGCAGTATTTGTAGAACTAAACTGTCCATGAAATGGCAGCAGTAACAGTGTGTGTGGGTGAGCTCCAGCTGACCGGGGGCTGGCTGAGGCGCTGGTGGAAGCGGACCAGTCTGCCGAAAACCTCTTGGCAGTAGGTGTGCAGCTCCTCCAGTTCTTCCTCGATCAGCGCCGCGTCCTGCGGTGAACTTCTCTGGATCAGACCTTCTCCAAACACGATGAGTGCGTCAATGCGCTCCGTGTTCAGCGTGATCTCCTTCTGGAAGCTCTGCGGGGGAAAGGCAGAGACGGGAAGCGTGAGTCACGTGACCTTGGCCTGGAGTTTCCGTCCCAGCGGGCATCCTCACATTGAGCTGCTGTATCTTGTGATGAACGTCGCTCTCTGAAAAGTGCTCCACGTTGGTCAGCTGCAGGTCCAGATCGGTCAACCACACCAGCAAGTTCTCCCTGGTGTTTTCAAACTCCTCCCTTTGGCTTGTAAAGTACTGAGGATGAAAAAAGGAGGAAAGGAGAAGGAAGGTTCACATTTCACATGAATAAAATGTGTCTCTCAAATGTGACGTCTGACGAACTACAACCAAAAAGCAAAGGTTTGAACTTAGACATCTGCTTTTTCTTAACCTTAAAACCACAACAATCACCACGACCTTGACCTCAACTCCCACCTTGGACCACATTTGATCAGATTTCATCAGTTTTGTTTATTACAAATTCAGGTCAACAGAAACAACATTGCTCGCACCAAAAGTCTGAAAACTCAGTCAAGTCTTCATGACCTGCTGTGGCCACACAATAAAGTAACAACAACAGTCAATGGAACAAACTTGGAGTTCCTTTTTAATGACTTCACAGATGAAGAACTGATAATGTGTATTTTGGTCAGACTTCCTGGAGTTCTCTTACAGATACGGTGGAGATAAAAACACATCAACGATGATGAAACACTTCTAATAAAAACATCAACTTCCTTCGTCTTCTCTACGTCTCACCTTCAGTCTGCGGAGAATGGCTGCCACCCTGCGGTGCAGCGTGTCCCAGCGTCTGTTTCCCTCACGTACCATGGCCTTCAGATGACTGGCCCGGTCTGTGCGGTTCTCCCGGACCAGGCGACGGTACTGGTTGTTGACGATTTCCAGCTGAGTCAGCCGCTCATGGACCTGTCTCTGGAAGCCCTGCCGAGAGCAGAGATAAAGGATCTGGAGTTTAGTAACAGCTCTGTACATTTTTACAGCAAAATGACATCAAAAGATGCAGAAAAAGTCACTTTACACATGAAAGATGGGAATGTTCTAAGTTCTAACAGCTTTTTCCCACTTATTTCCCACAATCCAAAGTCGTGACTTCAGTCAAAAACAACAAAACGACATTTGTTTTTAAAGCAAAGCCACTCAGGCCTTATTGACTTCTACAGACCTCAAACTTCTTCAGCTCCTCTTTGGCTGTGGTGTAAAGGACGCCTGCAGAGTTAGGGTTGGCGGCTGTTCGTTCAGCGACCTTCAGCCAATCCTCGAACCGTGAGTAGTCCTCCAGGAACTTGCACCAGAGCCTCCAGGTTTCCTTGATCCTACCAAGAGAAGCTCACGGTCGTCTACGGTAACACAAACCCGTCGGTGGTTCAACCTTGGACCGTCTTCTCACCTCAGCCTCCTGTCCAGAGCCATGGCGCAGATCGTCCTCCAGCGCTGGTCCAGGCTGCGGCTGGTTTCCTGCAGGGAGTCGCTCTCCGCCTCACAGCGGCCAGCGGCATCTTCATCCCGCAGCAGAACGTCACAGAGACTGAGCATCGACGTTACGCCCTGTGTGTGCTGCTCGATGTCCCTCTGCAGCTCCTGGACACACACAGAGAGAGAGGAGAGAATGGAGTCCACGCTCCTTTTTTAAGTTTAACACCAGACCAACCCTATCTAAATATCATAAAGTAAAACAATAAATAACTGCTGAAAATGACAGGGAATTCCAAAACCACAAAAGTGAGAATGTGCGCGACTAAAATATGAACTGTACAAAAACTTTTTCCTGTATTTAACAACTTTACATTTCTCCATTGTAGCCCCATTGATTTTCATTCTCATCTCTTTCCCAACTAGCGGAGTCGCCCTCTAGTGGCCCCCTTCTGTGTGACGCTGTGTGTCTACCTGCTGCTCAGCCAGCCTCCTCTGGATCTCCTGGTGGTGACACACACTGTAGGTGATGGGTCTGGACAACTCCGCCTCGATCCTGGAGAGCCAGGAGCGGAGGTTACTCATGTTCTTGTCCAGCTGCTGCACCGCCACCAGGGTCTCCTTCAGCTTCTTTACTCTGCAAACACACACACACACACACACAAAAACCCTTAAAACTCTAAAATGACTTTTGATTGGCAGGGCTGGAACACACTTTTTACCTTAGTGTTTTATAAAAAGAACCAAAAACCAAATAACTATACCAAAGCACTTACTGCGTTCAAGTGCTTTTTCCAGGTTTTTAAACCATTTCCTAGAAACACCACTCTCCATTAAAATGAAATGAAATTACACCAATTGTTAAAAAGTCCAACAAAAAATATATTCAGCTGCAAAAACACAGGCTAATGGACACGAGGTCAGAGGTCATGTGGCTGTGTAATTCAAAGGAAGGAGATAAACGAAGGAAAGCGACAGATAGGGAAGGAGAGGAGGAGGAGGATGACAAGGAAGGAGGTGAAGAGGAAAAGGACTCGGCGAGTTCTGTACCATCATGCTCAACACAGACGCTCTGCTCCTCACTCAGGTATCCCTCATTACTACTTTCAAAATCTCCATAGCAACTGCCCCCCCCCTTCAACACACACATGCATACACACTGGTGTCATAGCAACGTCCAGGACAATGAGAGCCCCTCACAGAAGCCTCGAAAGCTCCTGAAAGTGTGGCAGTAACGTCGAGCCAGGACTGAGCTGATCCTGATCCTTCCTGTTCTGTGAAGACCCAGCAGAGAACTGTCAGAACGTCGAGGAGAAGATCCACATTAGAAGAAGAAGAAGAAGAAGAAGAAGAAGAAGAAGGAGAAGAAAAACTCCAAAGAACCCAGAGAGTCGTTCTGAGTCTGAAGAATCAGAATCCAACGAGAGACAGTGACGGTGAAGGTCTGTCCCCAGGTTCAGGTTTCACATCTTTGTCCTGGTGGACATTCAGGGTCAAGTACAGTGGTCTTCACTCATATTAACGTGACGACCGTAGACAGGCTTCATGATGATGATGATGATGATGATGAAACCATATCCTCATCAAAAAGGACAATGAATTACGAATCACTCAGGCAAAAATTATGAATATTTACATTTAAATTCCCCCGCTGCAATCACTCCTGAAGAGGACCCGCCCCTCACATTGGGAACCACTGATGTAGCACAGCGTTGTATAACATAACATAGCATAGCATAACATCATTTATTATAATACAGTATCGTACATCATAGAATAGCTTAGTATCCTGGCTATTAGCCATTAGCTACATTAGAACTATTAGCTTTATTTTATGTTTTTTAACATATTTTGGTGCCAGGTTATAACGGTGTTAATTGACTACCGCAATTTCACCTTCACTTTCCCAGTTAACATGAAGCTACATGTCTCTCAGCTAACTTTAAGATAGCATCAAATCTGTTGTTTAACACAGTAAGGTAGGAGCTGATGTCGTCGTCTTAGCTACAGTAGTCCAGCTGCTCTTTTTTCTTTTTCCAGACTTCAAGTCTGTGTGAATTTCAAAGGTCATATATTAAGTGAAGACTCTGAGTTTATATAAAGGGTTTACTTTTAAAGTTTTATCTTTGTTCAGAGATTATGAGATAATTTAGAGCCAGTATTCACAGGGTATTTGTGTGTGTGATTCACGCAGCCTCCAGTTTACAGCTGTGTAACCAAGACATAATACAGATGGTGTAAATCCAGGCCGGAGGAGCCATAAGGAGAATCCTCTCCACATCTACTGTCCCCCCTCACTCCCCCACTTCACTTCCTTCTCCACCTCTGACAGACTAACAAAGAGCAGCGGCTCCACGCCGAGGCCAAACAAAGACACAAAAGCCAGACAGGGGTCCGCGTCGAGGAGAGAGAACAAGAGGAGAGTGGACAGAGAGGAAAGGAGCGCAGAAGTAAGTGGAGGAAAAGTGAGGATATGTGTTTGAAGGAGTGAAAGTCCACAGGAGGCCTCACTGTTCAGCTGACATTTATTCACTGCAGTCGCTGTAGTTACTCAGCCCAGAGCTGCAGACGGAGCTGAGAGGCTCCTGGGACACTGGACATTCATTTAGAAAAGTCTGGTCAGAATGAGACACATTTTTAGACCAGAAAAAGAGTGATTATAAACCAAGTTCAAAAATATTTGTTTTTTGGCTAACTTTTGGGTTTATTCGTAGTTTTTCTCGAGTTTCAATAACATGCAATTTTCATTTTATCACTAGTTAAACAGCTAGCTTAGCTTCTTAGCTTTTTCGACTCAAATTTTGTTAATGCTTTGTTATTTCTTATTATTTCTGACACTTATAAAACACCATAACTTTTCATTTGAGTAACTTATATTCTGATTTCCACTACTACATAAAAAACTTCTCCTTTTCTAATTAAAAAGTTCAAACATGGCACAGTATACACCAGTAATTACGTTAATTACTCATTTTCCTTTTTTAATTGTAAAGAATATTATCTGTTCTTTACACTGACTACGTCACTCCTGCTCTTCCTGGGACGCTCCAGCAGAAGATGGTCTAAAAAACACTGAGCTGACACTGAGTGACTCCAGACCTGAACATTTCCACACAGACTGACCCACAGGACTGACCCACAGGCCTGACCCACAGGCCTGGTCTGGACAGACAGAAGGACTCGTCCATGAGAGGTAAAGAACCACATCAGCGTTGGCGTCTGCAGCTCACAGCGACCACGTCATGACAAATCCACTGTCACATTAATCCACATCTTGTCTACACGGGTATCAAACCCCCTCCCTGTGGCGATTAATGCATACCGACAGATCCCTCCCCCCTTCATACGGCCCCACACCCACACCGCCTCCCATCATTACTGTGATCTGGTGGGGGTGGGGGGGTCAGTGTGAGGACA